TTGCCGTGTGTTATGTTATATTAGTTCCTGTAGGGATGGCTTATCCCCACTGTGTTCACCCACCTACGTGACACACACTCTTGCATCACACGCTGCATCCTTAACTCGACCCGCCACCCCCCAATAGAGCCACACGAGGGCCAGCAATCATTAACTCGACGCTAGCGCAGCTTTTCCTCCAATATCCCCACCTCTAATATCTAGATTTGGTAGACTCTTGCAGGCAAAACAAAACCACAATTTTTTTTTGCAGTTCACTTTTACGGCATGAGTGAACGTTAAGTAGCCCCTGGGTGCTCTTTGAATAAACACTTTGCAAGGCCGCCACGAGTTATTCATTACCCAAGAAATATGTACATATCCATTACTTTTTGGGCCTAATAATGTCCGATTCACACTTCTATCATCGCCTTCCTCAAACCATATGTTTATCACTACATCAGTTATTTATCGCAGCTTTGCAAAAATCCAAGGAATTTCAACCGCAAACTTGTGTGTGAACTCAGATCGTCATTACCGCCAATTCCTGTGTTGTAATTTAAGGGTGCCCGAGTGGAAACTGACCATGCTGAAGATGTTGGCCAACCAGTGCAGCCCCTTTAACCACCTGCTCACTACCGTCGGTCATATTGGTACGTCACCCTGCCCCACTAACATTACCTCTGCTAAGGGCAGTCTAAAGGGCCTCTTCCTCCTGGGCAGACGATCTGAAATTCAGCCTCCTCGCCCCAAAACCCTAGCCAATTCCTGCTCCACTTGGTCATACACAGTCCCGACGACCCAGCGCAGGCGCACTGGGATCGACTGACGGGACGGGATGGACGGACGGATAGGAGCCCGCGAGCGCCGACACCGGCGGGCCGCGGCCCGTGTAGGGCGGGCGCGCGGCAGTCGCGGGAGGTTCAACCGCCGCGCTTCTGAAGTTACACCATCACCAATAGCCATCCTGAAAAGTGAAACACGAAGTGAATACCCTCCCCTTCCAGCACCTCTCTCCTGCCTGCGGCCGCCCTCTCCTCTCTCCTCCTCTACGCGTCACACCTGCCTTCCCTTTGTTGGGTGTACAGAGAGTGCCCCATGGAGTGGACCCAGGTGTGATTTATCTTATTCCTTCATGTACTTCAAACAGCCCAACTTTCTACTCGCTTTCCTCTACCTGCTCCTCCCTTTCTCGTTACCGGCACGTATACCAGCCTGTTACAGGTCTATTCAACT